GAATTTACTGCTTATAAACTTCAATCTTCCATGAATCTCGTACTTTCATAACTGCTCATGGCGTATCAAATGTAAACAAATGATGTCATATATTAAGAAATGGACAAAATGTCTTTAATAAATAAATTGTCGGACTTTGTCCATTTCTTAATATAAACAGAGCATTTACTTTAATACTTGTATCTATAAAAAGAACGTTAAACATAAAAAAAAATGTCTTTAATAAATATATATATATATCGTCCAAATCTTTATGTTGAATTAAGAGGAAAGCACAAGTTATGTTTTGATTATTTTATTTTAATTTTTTAATCTTTCAAACACGTTCGAAATGTTCCCTAAAAATCTTGTTTTTCTTGCGTTAGCAGTTGCGCCAAAGATTAGTATGAGAAATTTAACTCCTTTTTCTGAGATAAAAAACACATAGTCTTGTAAATTCTTTCAAAAATCATTTTCAGTCTTTTTATATTTATATTAGTTAAAAGCAGAACTCCCTGTAAAATTTAAACCATCAATTTGTTTTTGTCAAACGGAAACAATGTTTACGTAAAATCTGCTCTGAATCGTAAAATAAAAAAATTCAATAAAACTATAACATTATTTAATTAGAAAAGCTTTTAGAATTGCTTTTATAAATAAGATATTTTAAGGAAACTATATCTTAAAAAAATTCGATGATTAATAACTTTTTACCAGAATTGTTTTAATTTTTTATTTTAATTAGAATAATTCACATTTTTTTTTATAAAATCTTTTAAAATTCGGTATTAATTTCAGGTTTTTACATGATATTATTAAATCTATATTTAGTAATCATAAATGGAAAAGCTTAGTACAAATCATGAAACACCAATATTTTTCTATGTGTATAAATGTACTGATTTCTGTAGATATATAAAAACTATATTTATTAATCATAAATAGAAAAGCTTACTACAATTCAGCGACCCCCCAGTATTTTAAAACGAATTTTGAATTCTTTGGTGTGTGTATAAACGTGTCGATTTTTGTATATTTTTTTTAAATAACCGAGCACTTAAAAATTATATACAACGGGCGCTCACGCCATTTTTTTCAATTATGTTTTAGAGATAAAATCCGGTAGAACAACATTAGATCTATCATCACGCTATCAGCACGTCAACACTTTAAATAAACAGCTACCGCTGTGTGAAATAAAGCATTTCTGCGATATATTTATATTAGAGTATATTTTATATTTAAATCAGATTAATTATACTTTAAATCAGTTGATATTCTTCAAATAAAGCTTCAGAAAAGTATATTTTCGTTTGGGAACATTTTGATTTTAATAAAGAGAATTACATTGCAATGAAAATCAACTAAAAAGGGAGCTAATCAGCTATTATAGCAAAAAAAGCTCCTTCCAGTTAATTTAAATTGGTTTTTGAAATACAGCAAAGTATTTTGCTTGTTGGAAACATTAAATTTTATCTATTAGCTTAAATTAAAATTAAAAGAAAAAGCTTCAAGAAAGATATTTTATTGTTAAATATACATTTTAAATCTTAGGTATTTCGTTTTATTCGGTGGTCCCTAAAAGAGAGAACGCGCCAATGTTTTAAGAATGTCTAAAAACTTTATGGAGAAATTTATTTTTCTTTCAATACAAATTAGCTTTAGACTATTGCCTTTCAAATAAAGCCATAATTTTACTTTAAAGATCTTTAAAAAAAAAAAAAAGATATTTAAAATACGTTTTCAGGTTTCTTGCTACTGATTTAATTGCCTTAGAATATTTTTATAGTTCATACTAAAATAACCATGTGTAGTTATCCACTTCATTTTTAATTTCCGTTTTACTTAAACAATCATGGCTCTCCACAACTTTCTTTTCTTCATTTTTAGTGATTATAAAAACTCATTCCAACTTTAAATTAGTTTTTGAAATACAACAAAGTATTTTGCTCATTGGAAACATTAAATTTAATCTATTAGCTTGAAATTAAAGCCAAAATAAGAGTTTCAAGAAAGATTTTTCGTTTTTTAAAAAGCATTTTAATCCCTAGGTATCGCGTTTTCTGTGGTGGTACTTAATTCAAAAAATGGTTGCCTATTTTATACCGTTTATAGGCATTGCAAAATGATCTGCTTACACCAATGAAAGCGAATAAGGCCCAGGGTAAAATGAAATGAGCTACCGTTAGCCACTCGAAAAGCTGGTCTCCATCCGAAAAAAAATGTGATGCTGAGTATCTGGTGAGCATTTTCTGTGGAGGTACCTACCTAACTACTTACCTACCTACCTACTTATATATATATATATATATATATATATATATATATATATATATATATATATATAATTTTAAAAAATATGATTCCTTCGCTACATAAGAGTTCTCATGTTTCAAAAACAAAAGTCGAATACCTCAGTATAATTATTAAAATTAAATTGAACTAAAATATCAAACCCTGTTTCATCCTCAAGCGAAAATTTTGGAAGGAATCATATTTTTTTAAAAATAATTATAATTTAGGCTCTACTTCTGTATGGAGCACTGTTTTTTTTTTTTTTTAAATAAAAACAAAAATACTAAAGAACCCCGGATATTATTTACCTAACGTGTTCTTTCCTATTTTTCTACATATCTGCATATATATATATATATATATATATATATATATATATATATATATATATATATATATATTAGGTGTACTTGGACAGCAATGTCATTTATACATTTAGTTAACCTTTATCACTGCAGTCGACTTTTTTTATCAAGCAAAACTTTTACCCTGTAAACGCAGATGATCCTTATTACTGAAAAATAGTCCGTTTAAATTTCATGGTGGTGTTTTCATATCCTGCTATGGCAACAGCAAAAATTATCTTGAGTAAAACCAACAACAGAGCTACTTCAAAAAATATGCAGTAGAAGGGGAAGTAATACTTGTTAATAATGCAGTGTTCTAAAGGTTAAAAATTAACGGAAACTCTTTGTTTATGACTTATGAAAGCCGAAAGATATTGGGTAATTCCTATTTTAGCAGAAGTTAGTCCTTGGTCACTTCTTAGAGAATGTATCTATAGTAGACATATATTTGTCTTTCATAGCTACGTGATTCTCTTTACTAAAAAATCTTCCAAATTTTTTGAAACTTTATTTAAGAAATTTTAGATGATTTAAAGTATAATTAATCTAATTTAAAAGAAATATTATTTACTTTTAGTTTAAAATATAGCAGAAATGAATTTTTAACACGACAGTAGCTGTGTTTATAACCCGACAGTAACTGTTTTGGCAAGTTGAAAAGACTGATGACTGATCTAATGTTGTTCTACGGAGACTTTATAAAAGAAATTCCAAAAAAGACTCAATATTCCTATTATAATTGTGCTTGCCCCTCACCTTCATTAGTTCGCACGACCGTTACGCCCCGTCAATACCTCATAAATAATGGAATATCCCTTTTTCATCGTGTGGAAAGAGTGGAAACGATACTACTTGGTTTCAGTGATAAAATCAAAGAAAGAAGAATAGATACAATTGTTTAATATCTCCTGCCAATACCTCATAAATAATGGACTATTCCATTTTGAACATGTGGAAAGAGGGGAAAGACACTACTTGGTTTCAGTGAGAAAATGAATGAAGCGAAGATAGAAGTGTTTAACATCTCTTTCAGTGTCGATTTCAAATCTTTTCATTTGTACCCACTTCTTAAAATAACAACTTATTCAATCACTAATCTAAGAATAAAGCTTCAGCCGAAAATGAAAAAAGTAAAACCGTGAAATTTTCACGCGTTAAAAATAGTAATAAAAAATTATTGTTGCATATATATATATATATATATATATATATATATATATATTATTGTTGCATATATATATATATGTGTGTGTGAGTGTGTATTCTGGGTGCGATGGATAAATTGTCGTCTAAATTACGCAGAAAGGAAAATAACACTAATATCTCATTTTAATAGATATATTTACCAAAATTACACAAAAATATTTTGAAATAATAAAGAATAAATTTATTCGATAAAATCGCAATTGGCTTCAACTACGGACTCCAGGCGACTTCGTAATCTCCTGCAACTCTGCTAAGCTGTCTCCTTGTTTAAGGTGATGAATGCTGCGATAATCCTTGCCTTCAGTTCATCTTTGGTGTTACAAGAGGCTTTGTTAATCTCTCGCTCAGCTTCGACCCACACATAATAATCAAGGGGGTTGCACTCTTGGGAGTTAGGTAGCCAGATGTAAGGGGTGATGTGGTCGCAGAAATTGTCTGACAGCGATAACTCGGTTCTTCTGCTTGTGTGGAATGGTGGAGAGTCCTGTTGCCATCCTCTTCCAGCAGCCACACTGGGGCAGCACTATCTCCTCAAGGTATTTGATGTAGGCCTCTGTGATGAGTGTCAGGCACTGCGGGAGGATGAATGAAGGCATAATGTTGTCATCACTAGTGATCAATCCAGTCACCTTCTTAATCACCATTAGACTCATTCAACTCATTTCCGAATCCTCTGCACTGTCCTCAGATTGACAGCCAAACATTCTGAAGTGTTCGTATTGGAGCTTCCGGCGCGAATGCCAAGCAGTACAGCATGCCGTTTTCCAAATTTCTGGCGGAGTGAATTGCGTCATGGTGCTCTTTTTCTCACAGACGAGGCCCAACTGACCCTACTATGCTGTGTAGTCGGCAAAATCAAAAACAAACAACGCGCGTGCGCGAAATTAAAAATATAAAATGGCGACAATCTACCCATCGAGCCTTTATATATATATATATATATATATATATATATATATAAAGTGTAACCCGGATATGAGAGAAACCCGGATATAAGAGAGATTTTCTCTGGTCCCAAATTAGAGCCTGTGATAATGTATATAAAATAGACCAAATATAAGAGAAACCCGGATATAAGAGACTTCTTCTCCGGTCCCGACAACTCTCTTATATCCGGGTTACACTATATATATATATATATATAAGTCGATTTTCAAGTATACCCAACGCCATATGAAGTTGCGAAGCACCGATCTCTCGTAGGGAAAATATTAATTTAAAACCAATATCTACTGAATTCTAAGAGTGTATGTTTTAACATACCAAAAAGATCATCCGAGTAAGAGTGACCGAAGAAATGGAAATCCAGGAAAGAAAAAAAATAAGTTATGCATCCTTTATCTTTCTTCTCTCTCTCTCTCTCTCTCTCTCTCTCTATCTATCTATCTATCTCTCTCTCTCTCTCTCTATCTATCTATCTATCTATCTATCTATCTCTTTCTCTCTCTCTCTTCATTCTTTTTCTCTTTATTCTATCTCTCTTTCTGTCCCACCCCATCTCTCTCCCCGACCTCTTTTTTTTCTTTCTTTCCTTGTGTTTGTGAATCTGTGCGTGTGTGCGCGACAGTGTTTAGCTATGTACCAATCCCCACACATTGTTCCATCTCCGTTCCCACGCTCCACATTGTCGACAAAGTCACATCCACATCAAGAGTCATGCGAAGAAGGGTAAAGAAAGCAGGAGAGAAGTGGGGGGTGGGTGTAAAGACCCACTTCATTCGTCCACCTGTAATAATCCTCGTCGTTTACGCCTATCTCCACCGACCCCCCCACCATCCTGCACCACGGCTTCATACCTACCTGCCTAAGAACACCACTCCTCCAGTTTTCTAACCTCCATCATCACGTTGTTGCAGTTAACATTACTATTGTGTTGTTATGGTGTCCGTTATTATTTTCAAGAGGGTAGTGGCTGTTGTGGTCATGTACACAGTGTTGCGCTGACAGTGACCATTGTGGGAGCGGGAAAAAAATAACCTTGTGTCCTACCGACATTTTCCACAATCATCTGACCTCTTTTTTTTTTTTTTATTATCATTAATATTTGTACTCATTGATTTTTCGCATGACTAATATCAAGTGGCTTTCAAGGGGGATTAAGTGAAAGCAAGTCTTCGAAATAATTTAGCATCCACTTAAACATTCTTGCTGATTTTAGTAATATTATTGTCTAGATTGCTTAGCTAGTTTCTTCGATTTCCAATGACTCCCCAAGATACTTCTCAACACTTTTGAGGCGATTCAGTAATGATAGGAACAGCTATTACTTTCTTCATGTTTCACAACTGCCAGGTCGACATAATTCGACATTTCTTTTTTTTTTTTTCACTTTCTTTCAATTTTACTCCGGTGTTTATTGCAACAGCAACAATTAAAATTTGACGGAAAGCCATATTTGCGAGAAAGAAAACTAGTCCCTTGGTTCCGATTAAGGACCCGTTTTAATTTCAAAGTTCCACAGAAATTTACTTATTCTATTCCCAAAGACAGATTCAGGTTTCTATTTACAGTGACAACAAAAAGAAATGAACCATTGAGTTATATATATATATATATATATATATATATATATATATATATATATATATATATATATATATATATGTATATATATATATTAAAAAAAGAGAAAACCACAAACGTTTTCGGTTGTAATGAGTATTTTTTTTAAATATACATTTTATTTTCCAAATAAAATATAATATATACTTTTTTAAAAATCCACGCTACAACCAAAAACGTTTGCGGTTTGTTTCTCCTTTTAAAATATACACTATAACCTCTTCCTATATATATATATATATATATATATATATATATATATATATATATATATATATATATATATATATATATATATATATATATATATATATATATATATATATATATATATATATATATATATATATATAGATAGATAGATAGATAGATAGATAGATATCCGAATGTAATGAGAACGAAAATAATATATAAATTCTAACGTCCACAATATTAATTCAAAAGATGTCCCAATACCGATAGTGGAGCAATAATTATTTATTATATTTTTTACATATAGACAAAAACAATTTACTCACTACAAAGATGCAACTTCGTTTCAGTGCATTTAAATTGCACTTCGAGAATCAAAACTGGTTATAAACAATTTTGTTTGTAAGCAAGCCGCATGTGAAACGTCACATCCTTTTTTTCCGTTTGTTTGAACAAAAAAAAACATAAATGCAAAAATGTGATGAAGTAAAAAAAATAGTGGTTGTTTGGTGCAGGATGGTTGAGGTGTTAAAACAATGGCTAGATCTGAAAGATTTCTTTTCGACAACAACGGTCAAGCAAATTTGAAGCGAATATGAAAATATATTATTAGGAAAATTTATTGATCTAAATAAACGACTTCCGGTAAAATAACCGCCATAATAGACTACCCACAATGCACCTCTGACCCGTATATGTATAAATAGCCGAGAAAAATAACAGCACACGTGGCCTGACGATTGCATATAGCATGAAACAGACTGTCGCCTCTAAGTGTTGACTTCTATGTTCACTTTTATATTTACACACGCTCTATCTCTGATATCGAGCACTTTATCCCATAAATATAGCACACCTTAAGACTATATTTCTTCATATATATATATATGTGTGTGTGTGTGTGTGTGTGTGTGTGTGTGTGTGTGTGAAAAATCTGTGGGTAAGTAATCCAAGTAGATCCTATTAATATAAAATATTAAAACTGATCCACAAAAGAGAGTTCAATATAATTTTTATTATAGAGCATATAAATGAAATGCAATCAGATATATGTGTTTGTTTGTGTAAAAAATTCAAGTCTCTACATATGTATGATTACATTTCCAAAATCCTCATAAAAACGATGTAAAATGCGTACCAAACTCTCAGACATTTCAAATTTCTTCTATTAGTGATCGTTCACAGGTTAAATTCATGAAAGTTCGGCAAGAAAGTAAATATAGACATGTGAAAGGAAAAAAAATCAACACAAAACGAACGGATATATATATAACTGAATATGCTAGAAATCTTATTAAAAACATGAGCTCTCCGGCAGAATTATTTCGCTTAAAGGCACTGTTCCGACTTTGCTGGATCGGCAACAACTCTTCTTTGTGGCCGAGTCTGTTAATCCACGGTGGATCTAACGATGATCTCCCTCTGCCTGGTGGAACGCAGGTTCGAATCCTGACGGAGAGCACATATTTTCTTTAATAAGAATTCTCAAATATTCAGGTCGGTAGACATAAATAAATATACTCTTTAATAACTAAACAGACCGTCTACTCAAATATAAATATTGACATAAAATGACGTTTAAAGTGTTCACAAAATATAAATCAATGTCGGATCAATAAAAAACTTCTTTATATATATATATATATATATATATATATATATATATATATATATATATATATATATATATATATATAAAATAACACAGCTAAAATTTATACTACTATTAGATATGCATTTGTGCCTAACTGTTTATATATAATTCTGCATACGTATATATATATATATATATATATTACTTATATAAAACATAGATTGTGTATGTGTGTGTGTGTCTGTACGTTTATATATTGGATCGGATTTCCTACATTTTTCAACCGATTTCAACAAAACTTCACAGGACTACGTAAAATTATCTTGTGGTCGTTCTAACAGCGCCAAATATAGGAAAAACAATTGTTTTTGCACAAAATCAATTTGAAAACACGATTAAGAGGCATCACAAAAATGAAAGCGGGACAACTCATTGAGTTATACTTATTATAAAACCCAGGTTGTTTGTGTGTGTGTTCATTTATATATGGGATCGGATTTCCGACATTTAAAAATTTCATTTACAAGACAATTGTTTATAATAAAATTCTATTCAATCGGTAGACTCATAACGATTAAAAACAATGTTTTTGTTTGAGTTTGGGTTTGACTAATTCAAAAAAATAAAAAAACAACTAATTAAGACATGCGTGTCCGTCAACCTTAAACAATAACCTTTGTCAATTTTATTTTTCAGTCTTTATGATGGTCGATACTCGTTCTATCTCTTACTGTTACAACCCCGGGAAACGCCGGGTTCTACTGCTAGTATATATATATATATATATATATATATATATGCACTTACCGTTTAGGACAACATTGTATGTACATATATATTAATAAATATATATTTTTTCCTCACCGGTAGCACAACTCGGAATTTTATGCACAACGTAATATTCAGCTTCTGAGTTACATGATTTAAATTCTGTTAAATATATCTGGTCATCGCAATGATGAGATAGTCGATATTTTATACAGGGATTATTGTTGTTTTTTAATTATCTATTTAAAATAACATAAGTAAAAAAATTAAAAATTATGAAATTTATATACAACATAAAAAACAGAACTCAATGTACGATTATATATATATATATATATATATATATAGATAGATAGATAGATAGATAGATAATTGTACATTGAGTTCCGTTTATTTTCAATAGATAATTAAAAAACAACAATAATAATAATATATATATGTGTGTGTGTGTATATATATATATCACTGCGTGCTATAACCGTTCAGCCACAAGAGAGCTTCCAGTTAAGCAAAGGTCAAATTACTGCTTTTAAACACACACCTTCGCCGATCTTTCTTGATATAAGGTAAACAATGACAATATATTAGATGAAATGGTTTAAATCCGACAAATATTTAATATATATTATATTTATACGTTATTTGTTATGGATACACTTATTTAAGTAAATGCTCTGTTAATTAATCAGTGTAAATTGCATACACACACACACACACACACACACACACATATATATATATATATATATATATATATATATATATATATATATATATACAGTGTAAATTGCATATATATAAAGCTTTCTTAATAAAAAATAACAGACCTGCATTCAATAACACGTGCTTCGAAAACAGTCTATCGTGGCTGTGATTTGATAACAAAAACAAAATATCCAATATGGACGAAATTATTTCTAGTCCTACAAATCCCATTTAGGAAACAAAAACAAAATAGACTCGAAACTAGAATTATCCTATTCCTTGAAAATGAAGCAAAGCATTAGCCGAAAACGCTTATGACAGTAATTACAACGGACATTTTCTATAAACAATTAATCCTCATGAAAGAACAACTGTAAGAACGCTAGAAAACTAAAATTAAAATCTGACAAAATCTTTCTTGTGTGCCGTATTCAATGAAACATGTATAAAAGAAGTATTGCTGCCGATATACTTCAACTCTATACTTCTAACCTCACCGCTCAAACTCTGAAACTTTATTTACTATCTATTTTTTTCCTCAATAGGAGTAGATAGGTTCGCCTATCATCAGGTTCACACCCATTCTCGGTGTTTTGAACAGACGTAGAGTTTATCCCTGGTTTCCTGTTTAGGATTGGGTTTCCGGTTCCTTTTTCACCCCTAGTAATTCCTTGCATCTTAATGGCATTATCGCCTTGCTTGGGGTGAATTGATTTTAACTATGATTTTAAAAACCATATATATTTATCGGTGCTGGTGGCACTACGACGAGGTGTAATGTTTCAAAAGCTTCTCAATTGCTCGATCGTTTATGACTAAGTAATAAGTTCGATCCTCACGGGGTTCTCTTTACTTTCGGCCTTGTGCCACATCTAAGCTTAGTAAACCGCTAAATTCCTCTGGTACAACATTTTATTATAGTCATTTTTACAGTCATTTTTAAACAAACAAAAATTGCGATAAATTTCTTTTTTTCCCACAGTCTTTGTTTTAAAATGTTTGTTTTAATGGC